CAGGACTAAGAGCTCCTGACACCACTTTTATTGGTTTCTTTTGTCCCTCTGGATCTTGCCCAGTGCTTATGTGCTGGAACAATTTACAATATCTTCATTGTGGGTTGTGAGAGAACGAGGGAGATTCAAAGAGGTAGCATCCACCCTGGTTGTATTCGTAACTGATCAGGACTAAGAGCTCCTGACACCACTTTTATTGGTTTCTTTTGTCCCTCTGGATCTTGCCCAGTGCTTACGTGCTGGAACAATTTACAATATCTTCATTGTGGGTTGTGAGAGAACGAGGTAGATTCAAAGAGGTAGCATCCACCCTGGTTGTTTTTGTAATAGATCAGGACTAAGAGCTCCTGACAAACAATCCTACTGTTGAAGTCCTCTGGAACTCAACCAGCACTTGTGTTGGTTTAATTCACAATATTTTTGTTGTGGGTTGTGAGAGAACGAGGTAGATTCAAAGAGGTAGCATCCACCCTGGTTGCTTGAGTAGCAGGTCAGGACTAAGAGCTCCTAACAAAAGTTAATGATTTACATTGTCATGCCCCATTGTATTTTTAAACATGCTAATTTTTCAAAATTTTATTATTTTCAGTACCTTCAACATGGACGACTTCAAGAGATTTTATTCCAACGAAGAAGAATCAAAATCTGTCAAATATTTCTGGGAGAAATTTGATCCTGTCAACTATTCTATCTGGTATGCCGAGTACAAGTACCCTAAAGAACTTGCCAAGGTCTTTATGAGCTGTAATCTTATCACTGGTGAGTATTTCTGCCTATCATACCACAATGTAATTTTATCTCTCATTGTGCACATATTTAAAAATTAACTATTGTTTGTCAGGCATGTACCAGCGTCTGGATAAGATGAGGAAGCAGGGTTTTGCGTCAGTCTGTCTTTTCGGAGAAGACAACAACAGTACCATTTCTGGAATTTGGGTTTGGAGGGGCCAGGATCTTGCCTTTACAGTAAGTATCACTATTTCTTCATTATTAGAGCTTTTGTTTTGGTGTTGAAGGCGACTCGAGGTAAACTACTTGCGGTCTTCTTACCTCTCATCTGTGAGTGGCCCGTCCTTGGCCGTTTGGGACCGAATTTCATCTCCCTCGGTCTGCCTCCAATGTCAAAACGCAGAGCTCTCCAACCTTTTTCCATCTAGCTAGTCAATATTGCTTACTTTGTTGAACTTATTTTCTACTGCAAACCCTAATTCAATCTCTATTGAGGTTCTAATTTTGTGCATTTTATTCCTCAGCTTTCCCCCGACTGGCAGATTGATTACGAATCATATGAGTGGAAGAAACTTGACCCAGCCTCACCCGAAACCAAGAAGCTGGTAGAACAATACTTATCATGGGTTGGAACTGACAAAGAAGGCCGTAAATTCAACCAGGGAAAGATCTTCAAATAAACTATCTATGCCAGTTTTTAATTTTTCTATCTTTTGGATTTTTTAATCAAGGTTGTACTCTGTAAACTTGTCGTACTGAATTTCCATGTAATATTTCATTGAGCTTGTCTTGATGTTGGTTATTTATTTTAGATGAAGTCTTTTGTTGTATGTTGACTGTGAATCAAATCTGAAATACTACTTGATATTCTTTGCCCCAAAACTATTTTGTCATTGTCATTATTTATACCCTTAAATTTACAATGCAAAGAACATTGTGCGCAAAGATTTGCCCTTGGATTTCTACCCTGAAAATCCAACGAGTGTGAATGTCATACACCGGCAGTGTACCCAAAAAATTTCCACCATTATAGGTGTGATGAAATATTCATGTGTGCAAATATTTTGTCGCGTACCTTCAACACTGGGATTTCATTCGCTAACTTGCAGGTGTGCAAAGTTAGCGCAATGAAATTTCCACTGCAGAGTTATAAATGCTGCTGTGCCTTGACACCGTCGTCGCGCTTCGCACTCGAGTCGATTCGCTGGCTCGGCTTCGGCTGTTCTCGGCAGCCTGAGAGAGTACACACTCGATTTTCTATTGCGTCCTCTTGTTCGCCGCCGACTCCGTCGACGTGTTGATTCTGTTAGTTCGGCTGAAATGAGACGTCTGGGGGTGGTCGTGCTGAGAGGCGAGGCCGGCCTGGTCAGGGAGGGGAGACGTCCTGGACGTCCACGTCCGGCAGGGGAGAGAGGGAGGGTCGGACGAGGCGTCCCAGAAGGTGGAGCAGCCTAATAACTCCCAGCGCGCCCTTGTCCAGTCGGGGCGCAGCGCGCAGCCACAGCATGGAAGGGAAGGGTCTTGGGGTGGGTACCCTACACTGTCAAACTCGTGACAGCCCACGCGGCCACCACCGCACCGGGCCGAGGTGCGGCGGGTGGCGTCAAACGCAAGCAGCTGCGGATGGAAGCGGCTAGTCTTTAAAATTCTAGACCTGATCCACTCTGTCAAAGGAGATAAGAAAGACACCCCCTCTTTTTTTTTTTCATCGCATCCCTCTCTCCTTTTTGCCCTCTTCCGTGGTTCTGACGGAGGCATCGCCGCCCCCGCAGCAGCGCGCTTCCCCGCCCTCCCCGCGCCATCATGCCACGGCTGCTGTGGATAATTCCATTCTGCCGGCGGTCCCGGTCCCTCAAGTTCCTCCTCTCCCTGCACCTCGCTCTCCGTTGTCTGTTCGGACGTGGTCCCGAGGGGGGAGGGGGAGGGGGTCTTCATCGCTCTCGACGCGACCACGCGACTCTCAGCGGCGAGGATGAAGGGGAGACGAAGAGGAGGAGGACACGATAAATAAGACGAAATTGTGTTTGTGGGGACGAGGGGCTCCTCGGGCTCCGGCGAGTGTAGCTCACCAGCGGCTGTAGCCCGGGCCAGCCTCAGCCAGCCACACCCCACCCTCTCCCAACTCCTGTGACGGTCTCGCGTCCTGCGTTATGCTAACCGCCCTCCCGTTGCTTCGCGTTTCCCAGGCCGTTGCTTCGCGTTTCCCAGGTTTTCGGGGACGCGAAGGCGCGAAAGAAACGGAAGAGAGGAAAAGGGGGAGGGGGGGTTGGTACCTTCAGGGTGTGAAGGTCGTAGAGGCGCAGGCCAAATTGAGCTCGAAATTGCAGGGCAGGAGCTCAAAGGCGCTGCCGACCGAGCCTCTAGCCTTTCTCCACTAAACAGGAAAAGATGTAAGAAAACCCTTCCGCGGGCCCAGAGGCGCGCCGCCCACCCCGGGCGGTCGGCAGAGCAGCGCCAAGTAGCTAGGACGCACGTCTCCCGCTCCCTCCTGCGAGGGTGGGCCGGACCGTGCGGGGGACGCAGGTGCGCCCGGGCACGCGATGCTCATCGCACAAATAGCGATTAAGTTTCGATTGTGAGAATGTCACAGCACAAAGGACCTCGCCGGACTCGGCTGTGTCCCCCCCTCCCCCCTTCCAATCCCTCGGCCCCCTTTCCCCAAACAGCTCTTTCCCTATTGGAGCTCTCTCCATAAAAAAGACCCAACTGCAAACTGCCGGGAAGACGCGAATCGATGTCATGACCGAACTTCGCATGCTTCGCATCCCCTCGGGTCACACGAGTGACTGGCCGGCGTCCAGGCTCCTCACCGAGGAGAGTGTGGGAATTGGGTGACCAGCAACGGATCATGGGGTAGGCAGGAGGCAGGGAGCCGGGAAAAACAAAATGGAAACAAAGTTTTCCCCCTCGCCTCTGTTGCAACGCTGCGGCAGGACGAAATTCGTAACCGTATTTTCCGCGATATGATATTGAGTTTTCTCCTGCGGCCCTGGCCGGCCGGGACAGAGACAGAGGCGAGGCGAGCGACCAAGCGATGGCGGGGGTAGAGGCGCAAGAGGAGCTGGGGACGAGTGTCCAGTGGGCTCCCCAGGTGTGCGTGCGAGGTCATCCGGGTCAAGACGACGGTCGGGGGCGGTCTAGTGGACTTCACAAGTTACGTAAATGTTACCATGACTCGACTCGCGGAAAAAAAATCGCGAGGTGCGAAACGAAAGAACAATTTTTCTTTCGTGACTTATGCATATTTTATAGGTGGTATATGAACCCCACCCCCCATGACGCAGGGAGGTCCGTGGTGACAGTGGCATGTGTGAGCTTAGTCCGGTCACGGACGCAACTCCACAGGAGCGACATAAGCATGTGCGAATGAATGGGAAATGGCCTCACCTGTTGCGTAGCAAAGGAAGGGTCTTCTCTGCTTCTGGCCCTGCCTGCCTGCCAGCCTGCGGGGCTCGCGGCCCTCAGTCCCAAATCCGCTTCCCCCTCCCCGCTTCACGCCCCGGGCCGTCGGAATCCGTGTCGGGGCGGCGGGGGCGGCGGGGGCGACGCGGGCTGGCGCCAGGCGTAACGTAAAGGTTGGCGCCCCATTGAGCAGCGGCGAATGCATGCAAAGCCTCCTCGGAATAACCCTCCCTCCCTGCCGCCCTCACTTCCTTACGGGATGCACGCCCACGAGGAGAACGCCTCGAGTGGTATCCGACAGAGGTCTGCAGCGGTCGCCAGTCCCGGTGAGAGAAACGGGACGATACTCTCCCTCTAGCCACGATTCGCCAATCCAACTGCTGATCGGCTGATCATAGCTCCCCCTTTTCTCTTCATCAGTTAAGCGCCTAGGAAAGCGCTTGCCCGGTCCCGGTAAGATTCCGGGTCCCTGCCAGGCTGGCTGGCTGTAGCCAAACGGCGGTCCCGGTACGGGATGCAAGTTTTGTCGGGCCTTCCGGATTGGGGCAGACACGTAGCGCGCTTGCCGGGACGATTTCTGGCTTTGCGCCGACCGACTATTGCAGCCCGCTGGGCTGGTATCAGGTGGCCTCCGCATCCACCTGCACAAAGGGGAGTACGCTCCTTGGGGATGCACAGGGATGGCACGCGCAATGGGGTGCACACAGGGGTGTCCATGTCCACCTCTGCGAGCGGCCTACCATGCCCCCTCCTCTCCCCCTCTGCTACCGTTACGTGTCGGGATTGCTCCATCCCTTTGGACCCTCTGCGCAGCTCTCGCTTCAAATCACTTCCGTCGGAGACGGATATGAACCGAAATGCGTCGCGAGTCCAGGCTTTTACTCTCCTCTGCGCCCAACGACCTCCACCTCCGAACGCTCGGCACCTGCTCGCTGCCGCCGCGCCGTGGCCGGCCGTGTCCGAGGGAGGCTGTGGCGGGTGATTCCCTCGGGGCAAGCGAACACCCCCCTCCCCTCCCCCTTTCCGTCAGCGGCCTCAGCCTGTCCGTCCCCGGGCGGCCGGCCCGCCAAGCGCACCTGTGCGCCGGGCAGCCTACCCGGCCGCTGGCGGGCGCTCTGCGCGTCAGCTTCGGCCTCGTGACCGCCAACATGGCGCTGACGCTGACGCCCACGCCGCCGCTACACTGTCCGCCTCTCCACTCCGCGCCACGCCACGCCACGCCACGCCACGCCACGCCGCGCCACGCCACGCCACGCCGCGCCACGCCTGAGCGGAATTGCAATCAAGCCTGCCTAATGGAATCGTTTTTCTCCGCTGACTAACTCCACCCTGGCGCAACTGGTGCACGTGTGTGTGTGTGTGTGTGTGTGTGTGTGTGTGTGCGAGCGCGCGCGCGCGCGTGAGCGTGGAGAGAGGGGCAATGAGAGGAGAGAAGGGAGAGTGATGAGATGAGAAGAGGTAAATGCGATTATACGCGGCATAGTGAGAGAGATGCGGAGAGAGGCGTCTAACACGGGGATCGACTTGGCGTATGTGCTTTATTACTAGCCGCTCACCCCACCACCGGCGATGTGAAAATCCAACTTCCATGACACCGTCGTCGCCGACCTCCCCGCGTGCCGCTGCTCCGGCAGCTGGATCCGGAGCCCTCCGGCACCACCAGCCCGCGGCGTGTGTCTCCTTGCTCTGAACTTGGCCCGGATCCCGAGGAGGCGAGACGGCGTTGTTCGCTCGCATGTAAAATAGGGGAAAACAGCGTCACGCCGGTCCCGCCCTGCCCTCGCCGCTCGCATGTCGTGGCTGAGTGTGACATGTCGGCGCAGGTGAGGCGCGGGGCGGCGGCCGTGCTGCTTGTTGGTGGGTGGCGGCGGCGGGGCTGGGGCCGCACAACAGTAGGCGGGGCGGGGCGGGGCGGGCGCAGCCCAGAGCGGGGCATGCCAACGCGTTCAATTCCGGCGAGGTTGAGCCAAAGTTAATTGCCTGTGGGACGCTGCGGGGGCTGCGCCGAGCACTTAATAAAAGGGAACTGGCTGGGCTGCTGGAGCCTCGGCCGGAGCCGCTCCAGCCCTCGCCGCTGGAGCCGAGGCTGCGGCCGCGCGCTCAACCCGGGCGGGACCCGAATGCACAGGCGATTGTCCGCGTTTGCAGCGAGCGGACGACGCGCGTCTGGAGGGGGTGCCATAACTGCCATAACCGTGGTAGCCGCCGGGGGCGCACCGGTCAGTAGGGGCGAGAGTAGGGGAGGTGAGGGTCGGGGAGACAGGCCCGGTGCACCTTGAGAAGGGGCGGCGGCTCGAATACAAGCACGGCACTGGGACTGCTGAATTATGGAGGAATCCAACGCCGATGCGGCTCGGCAAGGCGGGGTGCGTCGGGGTCAGGTCAGGTGGGGCGGGGCGGGGCGGGGCGTGCTGATGTTTGGAGTGCAGGGTGCACGAGGCCGGAGCCCGCAGGCGGCGGGGGGTCGAGCGGCCCCGGCTTGG